GAAGAGGTTTTAACACTAAGCGTCTGAGGATCCAGTGGTAGCACATGCCTTCAGAGAGCAACTCAAACATGGGCTGATAAAAAACAGACAACACACAACTCAAATCCTAGTCCAGAATGGTGATATTCTCGACACTGTCATGGCAAAACCTGCAGAGAGACCTCGGCCAGATCCAAAGAATACACCAGGACTAGTTTGATGAAATGACCCGGCAATCAATGCTCGTGGATGATAAATGTGCTTTAACTGATTGGCATAACAACGCTCAGTCTTGGACAAAAGCCGATACCTTCTGCAAGAAGAAAGCCGCGGCCTAGCGGGAACTTTGCAATCTAAAGAAAGACTGGAGAATATATTGGAAAAGGAGGAAACTCCTCGCTCTCAAAAACGCTCCATTGTCAATATTTGTATGAACAACGGTGACCGGTCAGACTTTGGCAATTACCGTGGGATCTCGCTACTGCCCGTACATGGAATGATTATCGCCCGAGTCCTGTTAAACGAATTTCTTCCTGAGGCGGAAAACTTCCTCCCAGAATCTCAATGTGGCTTTAGACCATCACATGGCACCATTACGATCTTTCCTGCCCGTCAGTTACAGGAAAAATGTAGAGAACAGCGTCGTACATGGCTTTCATCGACCTAACCAAAGCCTTAGACTCCGTCAACAGCGAAAACCCTGGTGGAGCCTCAGCTGTTTTGGCTGGCCACAAAAAATTCATCGTCATTGTGAGGCAACTCCACGATGGCATGAGCGGCAGTGTCCTGAACAATGGCACCCAGTGTGAATTTTTCCCCGTTCAAACGGGTAAACAGGATGACTACTGACTGCAAGTCTCTTTTCCATTTTCTCAGCTGCCTTTTCTACTAGGCCAGCTCCAATTTAGCAGGCGGGGTGGACATAGAGTACCGGATGAGGGGTCTTTTTCAACATAAGACGACTCCAGACAGGAACAAAGGTGTCGACAGCTTCCATTACTGAGCTTCACACTGAACGGGAAGTACAGGAGATCCTGAACACCTATGCAGATGCGTATGCACATAAGACGGAATCTTTTCAACCTGCCCTGGTTCAGCCAGACCTCCACCATCCATTAAGCTTATCAGTACTACCTCTCTAATGTTACTTTCTTTCGGCATCTCGGTTTCACCTGTCCACCACCGCACACATTGGTGAAGAGATTCTACATCGAATAACATGTGCTTCAAGCCTCTGGCAGACTCCGTACCCGTGTCTTTAGCTGTAGGGAGCTGAAATTATCTACAAAGTTGCACGTATATCGAGCAGTGGTCCTCTCCACCCTGGTATATGGCAGCGAGACATAGGTCACATACAGGAGGTACCAAGGTACTTGAATGCTTTCACCAACGTAGTCTACGTTCCATCCTCCGAATTCGCTGAGAAGGCAAGAGAACAAATGCCAGTATTCTTGCTGATACCAACTGTAGCACCGTCTCCCATTATCCATGAACAACTACGCTGGATGGGCCATGTTACCCGTATGGACGACAGTAGACTGTCAAAGCAGCTATTTTACAGTTACCTAACGAATAGTAAATGTAACGCTGGCGGCAACTGAAAGGTTATAAGGATAGTCTTAAGACAAACCAGAAAGTGCCAAATCGACCCACTCACCTGGGAGACGATTACCCACAAGGTGTCAATACTTTCGAGTTTGGTCGACTTCATAATGAGGCAGAAGCGCCAACGCCGGAAACTGCCGCCGCCCCTCCTGCACTAGATGTAGTTCCCTACATGTCTAACATCTGTGATCGACCCTGTCGGTCCCTGTATCGGCCTTTTTAGTCACCTCAGAACTCGCCAACACAGGTGATATGGCTAATTGTTCATATCATTGTATTATATCTGGACGATCGTCATACTCTATTCCGAGTGACAGCAAAGTAGAATTAATAGTAGTAGTAGGAGTACTGTGTGTGTGTGCGTGTGTGTGTGTGTAATAATAATAATAATAATAATTAACGGTTTATTGAAAGAGCTTGGCAGCCAGAAGGCTGAAAATATACAGTTACATATTTGGGGAATGGGTTTCGAATTACAAATAATATACAAGTAACATAAGTGATACAAATAAGATATATAATAACTAGATGGGGAAAAGCTCAAACTACAGTGCATTTCAACATAGTGACAGTGCAAGAAGTAGTATTAACTGGGAGTGAATACACTGATTTATTACAAGTTATTGATAATTTTACAATGGTTGGGACTGGGTTGTTCTTATAGCGATCAGTTCGTGCACGTATGGGCTGGATGCGGTTGTGGTGTCGAACAGCAATTCTCGGCTAGGGATCTCAGGTGGTAGTAGGAGCCGGTGTCGAGGATGGTGTAGAAGCTTCTACCAAATTTGCAGATGAGGTCGTGGTGATGGTCAGTGAGAGTCGAAAGGGTCAGTGTGTTGAGCGCTTCTTGATATGCTGAGTAGGAAGGGGAGAGAATAATCTTGCATGCCCCTTTTGCACTTTTTCTATGTGTTTACGTTGTGTGACATTTAGGAAGAAGACCAGGTAGGGGAGGCATAGGTGAGCTTGGGAAGTATGAATGTTGTGTAAACACTGAGGAGCTCGTGCAGGAGCCCTGAGGGACTTGAGAGGGCGGAGGAGGTGGAGACGGAAACTGGAGGATTTGACAACTTCACTGACGTGTGGTTTCCAATTTAGTTTGTTGTCTATGGTATCGCCGAGGAGCTTCGAGGAATCTACAACCTGGAGTGTGTTCGGACCTAAAGTAATGGAAGGAGGTGGGACAATGTCGGAGGAGAGGTTGATGTGCATAACCATGGTCTTGGTATGGTTGATGGTCACATGGTTGTTGTGGCCCAGTTTTGGAGACTGTTCAATAAACCCTGAAGGGCGGTATAGTCGGAGCAGAATTGTCGACGCTGATCCCAATGGTGGAGTCGTCGACATATTTCCAGCGAGCAGGGGTTTCTCTAGGCATCATTGATGAGCATAAGGAAGCAGAGTGGTCCCATCTTGGTGCCTTGGGGGACCACAGGTGAGTGACTGAAAGGTGGAGACAGCCCTCGGAAGCGTACAGCTTGGCGTCGGTCACTGAGGAAGTCTGTGCTATGGTATAAGACTTCTCCGAAGCCCGAGGTCAATAGCTTTGTTGATGATTATATTGTGGTCGACTAGGTCGAATGCTTTAGTGAAATCAATGAAGGCGACAGCTACAGACGTTTTCGTCAAGATGACGGTATATGTAATCGAGAAAGCTGACAAGACAGTGAGTGGTGGAGGAATTTTCATATTGCCAATTGCTGAGGGTCTACGACTCCTGCAATATCAGCATAAGCCCAGTCGAACACAAACTCACAGATTAGGCTGGGTATTGGGGTATAGGCTGGGTGTGAGTGTGTGTGTATGTGTGTGTGTGTGTAGATGTATTATTATAAATAAAATAAGTGAAACCAAGAGACAATTAAAATATTGTTAATCCCTGATGCACTTGAAATAAAAACCCAAAATAGTTGTTCGTGCATGAATTATTATAAATAAAATAAGGAAACCAAGGGACAATTAAAATATTGTTAATCCCAGATGCACTTGAAATAAAAACCTAAAATAGTTTTTCCAGAGGGAGGGATGGAAGAGAGAGAGAGAGAGATTTGGGCCCGCATCATTGCTACGTGGTCCGCCTATTGAGGAGCTTGGGTCTATTCTTTGACATTGTCCATCCCGAGGGCCTCCTGGTCTTCTGAATGATATCTAGGAAGAGGAGAGTCCCATTGAAGACCATGAAAGTGCCGAGCCAGTGGTGCAGGGTGAAGGGGTTCTGGAAGTAAATAATGGAGAACACGAGAGAGAGAACTTCCGAAGGGTGAGCACCAACGTGACGGTGAGGGCGGTGCACTCTGAGGTCAGTCTGAATACCGAGCTCACACACAAGTATCTGGCGAGGCACATTAATGAAAGTAATTTGTTTTTCTATGCACATCAGTCTTCTACATATGTAGTTTCCCAAAAAGATAAATACGTAGAGTTATCGCTAATTGGCAATTATTCTTATTTAGCGTAACACACACACACACACACACACACACACACAAACAAGGACTAAGAAAGAGGCTTATGTACACAGGGTGACCCTACGAAACATGAGGTCAGGTCAAAAACATGACATCTACTAATCTACACACCACCACCACCGCAAAAATAAGAGGAGCTAAAGAAAGGGCAACGTAACTATAAATAGTCACGTCAAGTCAGGTAAAAAATATGAGACCCACTAATCATCTATCCTACATCTACCTCGAATGTTTTCAAAGCATTTTTAACCTTGGGCCACTAACAAATAACTTTGTGTAATATATTATCACTTGTACTGACAATTACTAAACAAACATAACCTAACCTACTTTAGGTATAGATTCGCTATATTTTGAGGGTAATGCGCACCTCACGTGAAACAACAAATTTGACCATATACGAATAAATTTCCATTGACTTAGAGTAATAATAACACCAAGTTATCCCTATTCGGCAAAACTTCACTTGCTTTTGAAGGCTTAAGGCGGTTTTTCTTATTTAGTGTAAAACACAAATACACACATACACAAACACACACAAATTATGTTTTTATCAAATAGGGACATATTTGTTTTCATTGTTCCTACTAAATGAAAAAATTCATATACGATGAAATTTACAGTTATGAAACAAGGTAAATTAATCTATTTACGAATTAATATCGGATAGGTATGCGTTAGCACATATTTGATAAATGACCTACGTACCCCACAGTAACATTTGTTTTGCTAGTTTTCTTATATATTATTAATAATTCATTTTTATTTTGTTTGAAAGGAAAATTATGGTGGTCCTGGCATAAGAATAAAAGGATGCTGAGTGAGGACGTTACCCAGGAGGAAGAGCCAGAGTCTGGGCACACGAAGGCAAAGGCCGGGCAATTGGGAAAGGGCAGGAAGAGGATGACCTGCTGAATCTGGCCACGTGATCCACAATACTAATCCCTGTCAGAACCCAGGCAGTGACAATGTGTGCTGTAGGCAAGATACAAACACGATAGCATTAGTTAGTATATATATATATATATAATATATATATATATATATATATATATATATATATATATATATATATATATATATATATATATATATATATATATATCATGTAGATCCACAATGAATGAAAACGTGGATAAGATAAATTTGATAAAATAATGAAAAGGAAACAACGGAGCACCGTTGTTTCTTTTCCCATGTGATTTTATCAAGATATATATATATATATATATATATATATATATATATATATATATATATATATATATATATATAAAGATATACATTATAGCTTTCAGTGTAATTACACTAGTGAGTACAGACTAGCTCTAGTCTGTACTCACCCCTGAAGATGTGAATTACACCAAAGCGCTGGGAACTTGTGTTTTCTTTTCCTTGTGTTACAGCATATACCTAGATCACGCACCTCGTGATTTATCATATATATATATATATATATATATATATATATATATATATATATATATATATATATATATATATATATATATATATATATATATATATATATATATATATATATACCTGTTTTTATACTTCTCCTTAGTCTGTACTCACCCCTGAAGATGTGAATTACACAAGCCTTGGGAACTTCGTGTTTTCTTCTTTTCCTTGTGGTTATCAGCATATATATATATATATATATATATATATATATATATATATATATATATATATATATATATATATATATATATATATATATATATATATCACTGTAGGTGCGTGATGTTAAGAAAAATGTAAGGAAAGCAAAGAGAGACTATGAAGTCAAAATAGCAAGAGAATCCAAGGCAAATACCAAGGGATTTTTCCAGGTATATAGAACAAAAGTCAAGGACAAAGTTGGGCCTTTAAAGTCAGGGAGGGGAGAAGTGATAAATGGCAGTGAGGAAAATAAGCAAAGCATTGAACATTTACTTCTTACCAGTTTTCACAGAAGAAATTCGCGAGGAAATTCCAGAGGTGGAATTGATATTTAGGGGAAAGGAAGAAGAGAAATTAAACAATATCACTATCAGAGAAGAGGATGTTCTTAAGAATATATATAAACTAAAGTAAATAAAATCCCCAGGGCCGGATGAAATTTTCCCTGAGTCTTGAAAGAGTGTAGGGAACAGATTAGCGGACGTCTTGTAAATTTATTTACAAAATCATTAGACACCGGAGTTGTGCCAGACTTGTGGAAACAGGCAAATGTAGTACCCATATTCAAAAAGAGAGACAGAGCATCAGCGTCAAATTACCGGCCGATCAGTTTGACGTCAGTAGTGGGGAAATTTCTTGAATCAATTATAGCAGATAGCATCCGATCGCATCTAGAGAAAAGCAAATTAATCTACGACTCTCAACATGGGTTTACAAAGGAAAAATCTTGTCTAACAAATCTGATGACGTTTTTTAGGAAAGTCTTCGAGGTAGTAGATAATGACGAAAATTACTATGTTATTTACTTAGACTTTAGCAAAGCATTTGACAGAGTACCGCATCAGAGGCTTCTGAGAAAAATTAAGGCTCATGGTATCGAGGGGAAAGTTCTAAATTGGATAAAATCATGGTTCACCGATAGAACGCAGAGGGTCAGCGTAGATGGTGTTAAGTCTGAGTGGGGCCGTGTAGCCAGTGGGGTTCCCCAGGGGTCAGTACTAGGCCCACTCTTGTTCATAATCAACATACACGATCTAGATACTGGGATCAGCAGTGACATAAGCAAGTTCGTGGATGACACCAAAATAGGGCGGCATATTAATTCAGGGCAGGATGCAAATGCATTACAGGAGGATCTAAATAAACTGCAGGGGTGGTCTGAAAAATGGCAAATGAAATTCAACACCAGCAAATGCAGCGTACTTAATATTGGAAGAACAAATACTGACAATGTATACAGCCTTAACAACACCAACCTAGAGAAGTCGACTTGTGAAAGAGACCTAGGGATACTTGTAAGCCCGGACCTACAGGCTAGAAAACAGTGCGTTAATGTTCGAAATAAGGCAAACAGAGTATTGGGTTTTATATCTAGAAGTGTAAGTAATAAGAGTGGAGAGGTCTTATTGCAACTATATCTTGCGCTAGTCAGGCCACACCTCGATTATGCGGTTCAGTTCTGGTGCCCTTATTATAGAATGGATATCAATTCACTAGAGTCGGTGCAGCTAAGAATGACGAAAATGATTCCGGGACTTAGAAACCTTCCATATCAGGATAGGTTAAAGAAACTTAACTTGCATTCCCTAGAAAGACGAAGAGTGCAGGGAGATATGATAGAAGTATTCAAGTGGGTGAAAGGAATCAATAAAGGGGATATAGATAAAGTTCTTATAATATCCGAGCAGGATAGGACTCGAAGCAACGGATTTAAGTTGGATAAATTTAGGTTTAAGAGGGAGATAGGAAGAAACTGGTTCACAAATAGGGTGGTGGACGAGTGGAACAACCTTAGCAACTTTGTAGTAAGTCTTGGAACTCTGGAAAGTTTCAAAAGGAGGCTAGATAGATTCATGGATGATAGAGAGTGGTAGTAACTCTCGACAGGAGCTGCCATGCACAGGCCAACCGGCCTATTGCAGACTCCTTATTTTCTTACGTTCTTATGTTCTTATGATCCATGTACAATCAAAGACAAAAGTTGTGCGGCGGTTTTGTCCAAAGATTAAATATAACTCGTGAAACGTTATGAGAGCCCCCTACCACAAGACAGAGTGCACCAAAAGTTTAGCCCTTCGGCATATGTTTTCACCAAATTTCACGACACGACTTTTGTCTTTCCTTGTACAGTATATGTTGATAACCACATAGGAAACAAGAAAACACGAAGTTCCCAAGAGCTTTCGTGTAATTCACATCATATAATGAGACATAATACTCAACCACTTAGGATGAAGTACACTATTACACTCACAATAAAGAAGAGTGCCTCGTGGGGGTGTTTGCCGTGCTTAGTATAGAGACACTCCTGGTAGATGCCCATACGAGCCGACATGAAGAGTGCGAAGGTAAGAATAGCGATGCCCATGAGCCAAGTGGTGAAGCTGGAGAAGCCCTCGGAGTCCGCAGGCTCCTCCTCCTTGAATGTTAAATCAGACTTAGTTAGCTTCTTCCTGAATTACTGAAAGAGCTTTTTTAACTTCCTTCTTCTAAAATAATGATAAAAAATAAAAATGAGAATAAAACGAAGAGTCGAAAACATAAGTGATTTCCTGTATTAAATGGTAAATATCTGACCTTATGGGAATTGTCAATACAATACCTTTGTACTCTATTGTAGATATCACACACCTAACATATACAAACAACAATGAAAATATACCGATGATTTCTTTTGACCATCTTGTGGTTATTGGTGCTTCATGTTCCTGCGACCGACAAATGAATCATTACTAACCAAGTGTTCAGCAGATGCGAAGGTACAGATGATAGTGCCGAGTGTAATCATCAGCACGGACAGGTACTTGGTAACGGTGTAATGTCGACCCAGCACCAGGATGCCGATCAAAATGCTGGCTATAAGGCCTCTCTGTCACCATAACACACAATCGTATTTTTACGCTATTCATGATTTAAGTTCTTAATCTTGTTCTTCATTTAGACCAAACTATTTAAAACATTATATACTACTGCTGCAGATATTGACTATGAGGCTACAGTCACTGAATGCGATAGATCTAAGTGCTCAACTAATTTAACACAGATAGGATAGCTTATGTATTAGGATATTTAATATTAAGGTAAATAAAGGGTGGCGAAGGTGTGGCTGATTGGGGAGGCTGGAGGCCATATCTATTTAAAAAGTAGTAGTAGTAGTAGTAGTAGTATTGTCCTCCAGCCTCCCAATAGCCACAAATTCGCCGCCATTTTATTACCTTAAAATTAACTATCCTAATACATAAGAGGCTACTTAGCTGTGTAAGTTACTTGAGCCGCAGATCTATGCGGCATTCAGTGAATGTTGCCTCGTAGTCAATATCTGCAACTGTTGTCGGCTTGGGGCCGATGCTCTTTTCCCTGAGGCAGAGCAAAGAAGACCAAAGGAGAGAAAAGGACAGACGACATCTCAGCCAGGCTGTAACATGATTTCTGGGCTGCTGCTTCTGTTCGGATAGCACCTTCACGAGTCTGGCGTAGAAGCTTTGCACTTGGTCCCATCCCACCAGAGGTTGTGAACACAAGAGGAGTGAAGCTGCCTTGATCAACGTTCAAAATTTTTCCCATATGCCCTTATCATGTCGTTCTCCTTCCTGTGAGGCAGCATCGGGAGCTAAGTCAGTGACATACGGCCATGGGATAAAAATCCTGATGTCGAAGAGCTCGCTGTCCCCGCGTCCAGAATCCTCAAGCACTGACGTCAACACGGGCTTCGTTGATGTGTTTCAAGTCCTATGTTGGAAATTCTAACATCCAATGGAAGGACGGCCGGTTCTACCCTGACATCACGACACATTTCCTTCAACATATTTGCTGTGAGATCCCCTACTGCCATGCCTTTCTTGCACCATGGCGTGATCGACGTCATAGAAGAGCCACACACGCACTGGGAGGGCAACCTCTATTGGCCTACCGTAACTTAGTGCAATGGCATCTGTAAATTCTGTTTATTAAGACTTAAACCATTTGCCCTTATCGGTAACGTAGTTAACCAGTTCGAGGCGCCCACCTCCCGCTATAGCTACTTTTTCTTTCAAATTTTCTGGCACTTGCAGCCCTCAGTTGCTGCAACGTATGATTTGCCGTGCTGTCGTTCTGTCGTATTGGACCGTCGAATCTTGTTTACCGCTGGTAGCCACCTGCCTGATGCGTTCTGAGCTATTATGTGGTTAGTGAGGTTCCCGTGAGCTTAACTGAGTTTTGATGTTCAGTGGCAGCAATCTTCTGGATTGGTCAATCCCATTCATCCCAGTCTCGGTGGTGGTACAAGGAGTTATTTTTCTGCTGCGGTTAATTGAAGATGTTTCACTAATTTGGGAATGAAATTGACGTTGATAGCTTCTTCCAGAGGGTGGAGAGGGAGGGGCGATATCAGGGATAGTGCGCATCAGGTAGTTCCAGCGATGCTTGACCCGTGGGTGAATACTACTACCACTATTACTTTTTTAAACGTGGCCTCCAGCCTCCTCCAACAACCACACCTTCGCAAACATTTTATTACCTTATTAAATATCCTAATACACAAGTAGCTATCCTAGCTGAGTTAGTTAAGTCCCATATCTATGCGGCATTCAGTGACTGTTGCCTCATAGCCAATATCTGTGATCGTTGTCGGCTTTGGGGGCAAGGATCTCGTTCTCCTGAAGCAGCAGTGCAGACTTAAACAGAGAGAAAGGACAGTCAATATCTCAACCAGGTTGCAACGTAACTTCTGGGCTGCTGCTTCTGTTCAGATTACTAGTTCTACTACTATTACTACGACTAATAATGATAATAATAAATCCTTAAATTGAATACCTAGAAGAATACTTGTGAATAGTATCCATAAAGGGCTAATCAGTGATCCTATGTTGCAGGTTATATTCAACTTAATCACAATGCCCTCTACATCATATTGATCATAGCGATTATGCTGTATAGAAAAAGCACATTTATCAATTACACAATAGAAGGACTCAACAGGTCTTCAAGATAAGTAAGGGGTCCCAGTTGATAAGGGTGTTGCCATTAGAAGCACAAAGATCACTGGGCTTTGATAGTTGCTCTAATGGAATATTCATTATCCACTTCACTTCAATTATATACTCAAACGGCGCGATTTCTTTACCTACTGTCCGTCAATACTCTGTCACGCCGTCACAGTCCTACACCTCGTACACAAATGTCACCATACTACAACTCTTACACACCACACACGTCATCACAGAGTGCTACACCTCTTACATGCCATCAGAGAGTCCTACACCATACACACCAACACAGTCCTACACCTCTACACAACACAGTCCCACACCCTCTACACACCACAGACCCACACCTCTACACACCACACAGTCCTTCCCACACGTCAACACAGTCCACACCTCTACACACCAACACAGTCCCACACCTCTTACACGCCAATACAGTCCCACACCTCTACACGCCAACACAGTCCTACACCTCTTACACACCAACACAGACCTACACCACTTACACGCCAACACAGTCCTACACCTCTTACACGCCAACACAGTCCTACACCTCTTACACACCAACACAGACCTACACCTCTTATACACCAACACAGTCTTACACCTCTTACATGTCAACACAGTCCTACACCTCTTACACACCAACACAGTCCTACACCTCTTACACGACAACACAGTCCCACACCTCTACACACCAACACAGTCTTACACCTCTACACGCCAACACAGTCCCACACCTTACACGCCAACACAGTCCTACACCTCTTATACACCAACACAGACCTACACCCTCTACACACCAACACAGTCCTACCCTCTACACGACACAGTCCCACACCCCACACACCAACACAGTCCCACACCTCTACGCCAACACAGTCCTACACCTCTTATACATCAACACAGACCTACACCTCTACACACCAACACAGTCCCACACCTCTACACGCCAACACAGTCCCACCTGTTATACACCAACACATTCCTACACCTCTTATACACCCACACAGTCCCACACCCTTATACACCAACACAGACCTACACCTCTTACACACCAACACAGTCCCACACCCTTGCACACCAACACAGTCCCACACCTCTACACCCCAACACAGTCCTACACCTCTACACCCAACACAGTCCTACACCCTTATACACCAACACATTCCTACACTTATACACCAACACAGTCCACACCCCACAGTCCACACCCCCACCAACACAGTCCACACCTCTCACACCAACACAGTCCACACCCCACCCAACACAGTCCACACCCCACACAGTCCCACACCTCTTATACACCAACACAGTCCTACACCTCTTACACACCAACACAGTCCTACACCTCTACACACCAACACAGTCCCACACTCTTCACACACAGCCACCTCTACACACCAACACAGTCCCACACCTCTACACACAACACAGTCCTACACCCACCAACATCCACACCTCTACACTCCAACAGTCCCACACCCTTCCACACCAACACAGTCCTACACCTCTACACACCAACACAGTCCTACACCTCTTACACTCCAACACAGTCCTACACCTCCACCCAACAATCCCACACCCCACACCCAACACAGTCCTACACCTCTTATACACCAACACAGTCCTACACCTCTACACACCAACACAGTCCTACACCTCTACACGCCAACACAGTCCCACACATCTATACATCAACACAGACCTACACCTCTACACACCAACACAGTCCTACACCTCTACACGACAACACAGTCCTACACCTCTTACACTCCAACACAGTCCTACACCCTCTACACTCCAAAACAGTCCCACACCTCTTCCACACCAACACAGTCCTACACCTCTACACACCAACACAGTCCTACACCTCTTACACTCCAACACAGTCCCACACCTCTACAGACCGACATAGTCCCACACTCTACACACCGACAAAGTCCTACACCTCTACACACCAACACAGTCCTACACCTCTACACACCGACACAGTCCTACACCTCTACACTTCAACACAGTCCTACACCTCTACACTCCAACACAGTCCCACTCTACACGCCAACACAGTCCTACACCTCTACACTCCAACACAGTCCCAACCTGTTATACACCAACACATTCCACACCTCCTTATACACCAACACAGTCCTACACCTCTACACACCAACACAGTCCTACACCTCTTACACACCAACACAGTCCCACCTCTTCACCCAACACACCACACCACACTCACAGTCCACCCACCCAACCACACACCAACACAGTCCCACACCTCTTACACACCAACACAGTCCCACACCTCTACACTCCAACACAGTCCCACACCCTTACACACCGACACAGTCCCACACCCTTACACGTCAACATTTCTACACCTCTACACACCAACACAGTCCTACACCTCTACACACCGACACAGTCCTACACCTCTACACTCCAACACAGTCCTACACCTCTACACACCGACACAGTCCCACACCTCTTACACCCAACACAGTCCTACACCCCTACATGCCAACACAGTCCTACACCTCTACACACCAACACAGTCCTACACCCCACATGCCAACACAGTCCTACACCTCTTACACACCAACACAGTCCTACACCCTTGCACACCAACACAGTCCACCTCTACACGACAACACAGTTCTGCACCTCTACACGCCAACACAGTCCCACACCCCACACGCCAACTCAGTCCTACACCTCTTGCACGCCAACACAGTCCCACACCCTACACCCAACACAGTCCTTACCTCTACACACCAACACAGTCCTCCTCTCACACCAACACAGTCCTACACCTCTACACCAACACAGCCCTACCCTTACACACCAACACAGTCCCACACCTCTCACACACCAACACAGTCCTACACCTCTTACACCAACA